TCTGCCACTTGGCGGCCCGTCGGTCGGCTATTGATTTTCTCTTCTGGGATCATTGTGAAACAGCCGTTCTTGGCCAAATCCTGGCCGCGGAGCCTTTTGGAAGCTAAAATCTAGCATTCTGAAGCCGGCTATTGAATTTCTCTTCTGGGATCATTGGGAAACGGCCGTTTTTGGCCAAATCCTGGCCGGGAGCCTTTTGGAAGCAAATTTCTGCCATTTGGCGGCCCCTTGGCCGGCTATTGAATTTCTCTTCTGGGATCATTGGGAAACGGCCGTTTTTGCCAAAACCTGGCCGCAAGGTTTTACACAGAGAAGTCTTTACTCTAAGGAGCTTTTGCACACAAACGTCTAGGAGCCTTTGCACACAGAAGCTGTTCCACGAAGAAGTCTTTACACAGATATATAGCTTTCATTCACAGACGCGTTTACACACAGAATCTTTTACACAGAGAAGCGTTTACACAGAGAATTTTACACAGTGAAATCTTTACACAGACGCGCTTTCACACAGAGAAGCTTTCACACACAGAAGCTTTTACACAAAGAAGTCTTTACACAAAGTGGTTTTTACACACAGAAACTTTTACACGCAAAAGCTTTTACACAGAGAAGCCTTCAGCCAGAGGAGCTTTTACACACAAAAGCGTTTACACACAGCAAGCTTTTACACACACAGGGGCTTTTACACAAAGAAGTCCTTACACAAAGGAGCTTTTTACACACAGAAGGTTTTACACAGAGAAGTCTTTACCCTAAGGAGCTTTTGCACACAAACGTCTAGGAGCTTTTTCACACAAAACTTTTTACACGAAGAAGGCCTGACAGAGAGGGTTTTTACACACAGACGTGTTTGCACACAGAAGCTTTTTTTACACAGAGAAGCCTTTACACAGAGGAGCTTTTACACACAAAAGCATTTACACACACAGGGGCTTTTACACAGAGAAGTCTTTACACAAAGGAGCTTTTTACACACAGAAGGTTTTACACAGAGAAGTCTTTACTCCAAGGAGCTTTTGCACACAAACGTCTAGGAGCCTTTACACACAGAAGCTGTTACACAAAGAAGTCTTTACACAGATATATAGCTTTCACACACAGACGCGTTTACACACAGAGGCTTTTACACAGAGAAGCCTTTACACTTTACACAGAGAGTTTTTACACACCGAAGCTTTTACACACAGTGAAATCTTTACACAGACATTTCACACAGAGAAGCTTTCACACATAGAAGCTTTTACACAAAGAAGTCTTTACACAAAGTGGTTTTTACACACAGAAACTTTTACACACAAAAGCTTTTACACAGAGAAGTCTTTGCACAGAGGCGTCTTGACATGAAGTCACAAGTTGAAATTGGCAGCAGTTCTTCGGGAAAAACCCTTGGCAGGAGCTTTCGGGCACTCACTTGCTCCCCAAAAAAGCCGTCTATTTCCAACAAAGTTCCTGTTCTTTTTTTTTTCAAAAAACGTAAGGAATATATTTCTGAAGCAGGTCCCCATCCAAAAGCTTTCCAGCCCCCACACTGCGATGAAATGGAGGGCCGAGAAATCCGGCGGAGCCGACGAGGGGCGTTAGCCCTTAAATTCGGCTCCGCCGGCTCCCCACGAGTGGCTTGCCCTACGAGCGTCCCAGAGCGACTAGAGCTCTAAGGTGAGGCGCGCCCCAAGCCGCCGACCCTCCGACGCCGGGCCCCGAAAAACACCAAAAATCCTTCAGGAGGGTGGGGGAGAGCTTTTTGGCCGGAATCCGGGTCGCTCATAAGCGTCTCCAAGAGCATAATCCCGCCCCCCCACGATTTTGAGGGTACCTAAAATCGGAAAAAAGCGCCGTTTTGACACATTTTTCGGACGATCTTTCGCTTTTCGAAAGTCACAAAATGCTGTAAATTACAGCATTTTTGCGTTTTAACGTCTTTGCGGGAGCCATGCAAAAACGCAGAAAATGCTGTAAATACCAATACTTTTTGGACCCAAGATGCACAAAACACCGCAAATACCAGTGTTTTTGAAAGCCAAGCAAAAAAACACTGTAAATTACAGCATTTTTGGCGGGTTGATCGCAAAAACTGCTGGTATTCACAGTGTTTTTGCAATTTCAAGAAAACGTGGAAGGCACGAAACACTGTAAATAGCGGTGTTTTGGCCACTTTTGGACGCCGAAACGCTGGTATTTACGCAGTTTTTTGCCCGTGGCGGCGCCAAACCCCTGTAAATTACAGCATTTTCTTCCCTTTCTGAACCGATTTTTTGCCTTGATGAACGCAAAAAACGCTGGTATTTACGCGTTTTTCAAAAAATCGAAGATCGTGACGTGAACGAAACCCTGCAAATAACAGTGTTTTAGCCACTTTCGGGGACTAAAACTGTGGTATTTACGCGGGTTCTTGCCATCTGACAGCGCAAAATGTTGTAAATTACAGCACTCTGTGCCCTGTTTATGTTCAATTTTTTAACCTGCGATGCTTTCACCTGTTCTTTGCATTCTTCCACAAGAAACAATGTTGCAGATTGAAACTGGACGACAGCGTGACCCGAAAGAAAGCTGGATGGAGGAGTCGCACAGAAGCTTTTACACATACAGGGGCTTTTACGCAGAGAAGTCTTTACACAAAGGAGCTTTTTACACACAGAAGGTTTTACACAGAGAAGTCTTTACTCTAAGGAGCTTTTGCGCACAAACATCTAGGAGCCTTTACACACAGAAGCTGTTACACAAAGAAGTCTTTACACAGAAGGCTTTTTACACACAGACGCGTTTGCACACAGAAGCTTTTACACAGAGAAGCCTTCACACAAAGGAGCTTTTACACACAAAAGCATTTACACACAGCAAGCTTTTACACACACAGGGGCTTTTACACAGAGAAGTCCTTACACAAAGGAGCTTTTTACACACAGAAGGTTTTACACAGAGAAGTCTTTACTCTAAGGAGCTTTTGCACACAAACGTCTTTTTATTGCCAAGTTGCAGGAATCGCTCTTGCCTCTTCCAGTCGTGTGATCTGGAGAAAGAATCTATGGTAAATCAGCATACGGCCGGTTCCACGCATCAGCGGAACGGCCACACTCCGGCAGGCTATGGGCAAAACGTGCGAAAACCATAAGGGTCTCATGTGACACCCATGGCCGAGCCCCTCTAATTGTTCCGTAAGGGAACTGTACACCGGACCAACTACATTTTCTGGCCAAAACGTCTAGGAGCTTTTTCACACAGACCTTTTTACACGAAAAAGGCCTGACAGAGAGAGTTTTTACACACAGACGCGTTTGCACATAGAAGCTTTTACACAGAGAAGCCTTTACACAGAGGAGCTTTTACACACAAAAGCATTTGCACACAGCAAGCTTTTACACACACAGGGGCTTTTACACAGAGAAGCCTTTACACAAAGGAGCTTTTTACACACAGAAAGTTTTACACAGAGAAGTCTTTACTCTAAGGAGCTTTTGCACACAAACGTCTAGGAGCTTTTTCACACAGAACTTTTTACACGAAGAAGGCCTGACAGAGAGAGTTTTTACACACAGACGCGTTTGCACACAGAAGCTTTTACACAGAGAAGCCTTCACCCAGAGGAGCTTTTACACACAAAAGCATTTACACACAGCAAGCTTTTACACACACAGGGGCTTTTACACAGAGAAGTCCTTACACAAAGGAGCTTATTACACACAGAAGGTTTTACACAGAGAAGTCTTTACTCCAAGGAGCTTTTGCACACAAACGTCTAGGAGCTTTTTCACACAGAGCTTTTTACACGAAGAAGGCCTGACAGAGAGAGTTTTTACACACAGACGCGTTTGCACACAGAAGCTTTTACACAGAGAAGCCTTTACACAGAGGAGCTTTTACACACAAAAGCATTTACACACACAGGGGCTTTTACACAGAGAAGTCTTTACACAAAGGAGCTTTTTACACACAGAAGGTTTTACACAGAGAAGTCTTTACCCTAAGGAGCTTTTGCACACAAACGTCTAGGAGCCTTTACACACAGAAGCTGTTACACAAAGAAGTCTCTACACAGATATATAGCTTTCACACACAGACGCGTTTACACACAGAAGCTTTTACACAGAGAAGCCTTTACACTTTACACAGAAAGTTTTTACACACGGAAGCTTTTACACACAGTGAAATCTTTACACAGACGTTTCACACAGAGAAGCTTTCACACACAGAAGCTTTTACACAAAGAAGTCTTTACACAAAGTGGTTTTTACACACAGAAACTTTTACACACAAAAGCTTTAGACAGAGAAGTCTTTGCACAGAGGCGCCTTTACACGAAGTAACAAGTTGAAATTGGCAGCAGTTCTTCGGGAAAAACCCTTGGCAGGAGCTTTCGGGAACTCACTTGCTCCCCAAAAAAGCCGTCTATTTCCAACAAAGTTCCTATTCGATGAACTTTTTTCAAAAAACATAAGGACTATATTTCTGAAGCAGGTCCCCATCCAAAAGCTTTCAAGCCCACACTGCGATGAAATGGAGGGTCGAGAAATCCGGCGGAGCCGACGAGGGGCGTCAGCCCTTAAATAAATTTCCCACCCCCGTTAAACTTTACATTCATTGAAGATCTTCAGTAAGGGTTTAATTCTCCCACCCCCGTTACACTTCTACATTCATTGAAGATCTTCAATAAGGGTTTAATTCTCCCACCCCCGTTAAACTTCTACATTCATTGAAGATCTTCAATAAGGGTTTAACTCTCCCACCCCCGTTAAACTTCTACATTCATTGAAGATCTTCAATAAGGGTTTGATGATGATGATGATGATGATGATGATGATGATGTGTAAGAGACTCGCACAGGTCCCTATGCTGTGCGTGCCGATATACAACATGAAGTTAGCCATGATGCAAAAAAAACTCCCATGTTTATCACGTTTTCAGCACATACGAAGATGGCCGCCGACAAGCGCGGGCAAATCGAGGTGTTTGCCCGTAATATTACTGTATAGTAATATATGATGATTTCATATTCACAGCCGGAGTTAGTTTAGACATTTAAGACAAACAGCAAATCTGTTCCCCTTGCTGCGCCTCAAAATGTGATGCCTCTCTCGGCATGCCTCCAGCCGTTCACGCGATCTGGATATCTGCTCCTCGGTGGTAACAATCGTTGCTTCAAATGTGTATATATATAATATATATATATATATTATATATATATTATATATATATAAACACAGGTCAAGCCTTGTGGTCTTCCCATGTCTTCCCATGTCTTCCCATGTCTTCCCATGGCTTCCCATGATTCCATAGAAGCGATCCTTCAAACCAATGTCCTTTTCATCTCCCTTTCATGTCACTCTCCAGTCCTCTTGGATGGCCTTCAGGGCCAAATTATCCAGTTCTGCTCTTCCCTTTACCAGCTCTCGCTCAAATCGCAATGTCCTGAGATGCAAATGTTGAATCATGATTACTGTAAACATCTGTAAACTGTAAGATATGCTTTCCACTGCATTTGTTGGAGTGCACATCAACAGGACACATCACTGCCGTGATCCCTGGGCCCTGAGCATTTCCCATTTCCAAAACCAAAAACCACACAACCCGGCGACAACCCGAAGCACAGCATGGACGGGCGGCCTTGGGTCTGCCTGGCACTCGGCCAGCGCTGGACCTTGCGACCCTGGCAATGCGAAAGGAAATTCAGGAGATGTAATGTGGCAATAGATTCCGATAGTTGGCGGCCAACAGGATTCAAAAGGTCTACAAATGTCTACAGTACATCTGGAGAAGTCATGCAAAATCAATTTATAGTGCGGGCGCACCTGCCAGGCTGCTTTCAAGCAACTTGGCACTCCCGGAAGGCCTCTGAACAAGAGCATACAACATGTCAGGGATGCCAAGGATGTCTGTCATTTTGCAGAGTTGTCATGAGTTGTCTAAGGTTCATCAATGTTCATCACACTATCAGCGCCTTGGCAGCTCTACTGATCTCCCTTTCGTCTCAATGGGTTTTCTTCCCACACCAGCACCTGCAGCCACCAGCTCCAGCCGACTATCAGAACCAACTTTCAATCAAGCCGAATCCACTGTCAAGAACTCTCCAATGCCAGACTTACCTAATGCACAAGATCTTGCAAAACACAGCTGATCTATCTGCGCACCCCTACATAAAATCTCATCCTAAACTCCTGCTGTGATTATATAGCTTGGTCAGAAGTTTACAGATACAGCGGTCAATTTCAGAAACCTTGGGACCATCTTGGGACCTTGGGGTCATTAAGCTTCATACCTTGTCCCAAATCCGGAGCAAGGTCTGGAGCTTCGGAGGGCCGACCTGCACTCGATTGGACGGCGGTAGCGGGTCAACGAGGCAGAACAAGAACGACCGCAACATCAAAATCACCAACATTCACCAACGCAAGAGAGGCAAAATGACGACAAGACCCGCCAAAAGTACACCAACCATTTGGAAATCCTAGTCTACTGACTCATTCAACCCTTGCTGAGATCGCACCTGAGAACGCTGCATTTACTCCCAGAGCTACTGCTTCGAAGTCAAACTCCTCGGCAGTTTCGACCTTTTGGTGTTGCTCTGGCTGTTGCTCTGGCTGTTGCTCTGGCTGCTCTGCAAGCTCTGAGAACCACGGTGCATTTGACGGGATCTCACCAATTTGTGGAGCTTGAACTGCGCCAAGTTCTTGCGCATGGGCTACCAGGCGACAAGCAACACAAAAAGCTTCGAAGTCCACATTCTCCGCGTCCGACTCTGTCGCAATCTTCAGTATCTCATTCAAGATTTCTTCGCTCAATTCACTGCGCTGCAGGAATGTCTTCACTTTGGAAAGCTCAATGGACTCACTGCCTTTCCCTCCCAGCTTTCGAAAGTACTTTCGGTAGCGCGTTGCTTCATCCTCAGAGAAATCCGGGCCTAACCTCGCTTTGGAGATTTCACGACTCTTGCTCCTTCGTCCCATGGCAAAGAAAGGCGCTCTGGTGGAAGGTGAGAGTTATTAAAAGTTATGTATACTGTATGCTCAACAAAAATCCATCTTGCAGAGAACATATTTTACAAATCTCAAGAACGCAGGAATGATTGGTAATTATTCCTTTTGTAAAGGAATTTACAAAGAAACAGGTCTTGGTGAGGGATGTGTCCCATAAACACGGGGTGCTGTAGGCTTGCTTGATCCTCAAAAGCAAAAACAAGCAAGAACACACAAAATGACTGAATCAGTTGTTCAATCAAATAAGCCATATGCAAGCTCAAACAGCCAGGTATGAGTAGATCTTCCGGAAAAACCGGATCATTCCGATGATCATGTTTCCTCTCCACATCTTTCAACGTCTTTAAACATCGTATAACCTCGTTAAACCATGTCAAACCACTCCATGTGACAATGTGATCCTATGAATATCCTATGTGTCGAAATCGTCATGATCATCATGAGCTTGAGGTAGCTTGAAGAGCTGAAGACGGACTTTTGCAGCACAGATTCGGAAACCGGTTCGGAGTCCTCACGTCGCATCTTTCTATGTCGCTGCCAGTTCGGAGGTTCGGAGTCGGAGTGATTCGGAGTTCCGAGTGGATCTGGGCAGGGCATAGCTCTGCTTTCGATTTTCGTCTTTTGTCATGTGGTAGTCCCTTCAGAGTTTGGTTAGCTCAATGGGCCCCCTAGTTTGACGCACATTCTATTCCCCGAAGTAGTTGGTGGTGCAACCCCTGGTAGCATCAACATTGAGTAGCATGACGGAATACATGTAAATTATTTGCATCAGTGTTGTTATAAACTGTTATACACTCTTAACATCGATGTATGTGTTTGATAATGTGTGATATGGAGATCAAATGTATTTGTTTCATTTGCTCTGCAACTCTCACGTCCTGGCCGGACATTTGGAAGGAACGTGCGCTTTCCTTGTTTGTAAAGGACGCTCTTTGCTGCACGCATGGGCAATTGCACACAATACACACAACGCCACGGCCTCTGACCCTTTGGGCGCCAAGGCAAAGGTGTGTCTATGCTAAGACATTGTGCAGCAGCGGAAAAAGAGTGTTGTCTTCAGATGATGTGAGTGCCAATGGCTGCCTGCGTAAATCGATATTAACCTTGCAATATAATATGTGTAAGATTGTGTAAGCATCATCTTGTGCTGCCTTCGGTGACACAAAATGGCTCATCGACTAATGGCTCATCATCTTGCGATTGTTGCGCCTCCACGCACAATACAACAAGAGGATACAAGAGGCAGAAACTACAGTGGGATCAGTAAAGTTCCTGGCCTCGAAACGAACAAATCTCCATAGCTGCTATAGCTCAAACACTCACAAATCAGTTTCAAGATCTTCAAGTTCCCATAGTATACAGTGATCCAACATGATCCGACGAACTACACACGACCACACAGTTGGGGCATGTCTTGGAGCCGTGGTCCGATATGGTCCGACATGGTCCGACATGGTTGTTCAGTCGCGACATTTTGTGCACCTTGGGAGTCGTCATCCGGCTTCCTCCAAGCAATGAGAAGGCCCAGCAAACTAACATTTTTCTGACGCTGCGACAAATCGTCACTTCGTCTTGAGTCATCAGCTTGTTGCATACCAGTAGTGCCGCACAAGGCGGTGGCGGAAGTTTCAAGGATAGAACACTATAGGAGAGGTGAGTTGTTGGACCGAAAGGTGGTTGGAGTTGTGTTTTTTGGAGTGGTTGCAATGGTTGCAGTGGTCACCTCACTCACAACTCCTGGATGTAGTGTGGTGTAGTGCAGTAGTTGTAGTTGTAGTGGGGTTGATGTTGTTGAAGTTGTACTGTTGTAGTTCTAGTTCCAGTTGTAGTTGTAGTTGTAGCTGTAGTTGTAGTGTAGTTGAAGTGTAGTTGAAGTTGTAACTGCCTTAATTGTAGTAGTTGTAGTAGTTGCAATAGGTAGGAGTTGTAGTTGTAGTTGCAGCTGTAGTCGTAGTTGTAGCGGTAGCTGTAGTTGTAGTGTAGTGTCGTGGTAATTGTTGCCGTAGTGTAGTGTAGCTGAAGTTGTAGTTGAAATGTAGTTGTAGTGTAGCTGAAGTTGTAGTTGCAGCTGTAGTTGCAGTTGCAGTTGTATTGTAGTTGTAGTAATTGTTGCGGTGGCAGCTGTAGCTGCAGTTGTAGTTGTAGCGGCACTTGAAATTGCAGTTGTAGTAATTGTAGTTGAGGTCGTAGTTGTAGTTGAAGTGTAGTTGAAGTTGTAGTAGGTGGGGTTGTAGCTGTAGTTCTTGTAGTTGAAGTGTAGTTGAAGTTGAAGTGTAGTTGAAGTTGTAGTTGTAGTGGTAGTGTAGTTGTAGTTGAAGTTTTAGTTGTAGTTGCAGTTGTCTATCTATCAGTCTATCTATATATCTGTTTATCTATTTGTCTTTCTGTGTATCTATCTCTGTCTGTCTGTCTGTCTATCTCTATCTCTATCTCTATCTCTATCTCTATCTCTATCTATCTATCTGTCTATCTTTTTATCTATCTATATATCTATTCGATCTATCTATATCTATATCTATCTATCTGCAAGTTTGAAAACGAAGCTATTCTGCGAGACTTCTTCAAATTTTGAACTTGACAACGACAAAAACGAAACAATGCTGCGAGACTTCCTCAATTTTTGAACTTGACAACGTCAAAAACAAAACAATTTTCAAAGTTGACAACATCAAGAACGAAACAGTTCTGCGAGACTTCCTTCAAAAATGGAAAGTTGAGTGCAGAGCTGACGGCCTCGTACCAATGCGTCTTGCGATTTTTCCACTTTACCTGTCTAAAGTACTGCGCCTGCCACGAAAAAGTGATGCCAGGTCATACGAAGTGCTGCACCTGTCACGCAAAATCATCTCCCCAAAACTGAAGATCTGATGCTCCAAAATGCAACCCCTATCAGGAAATCAGCGCCCGGACCTCCTAACATCTCTGATGAACATGTCTCTTGTACTGCATCTGCCACGCGACATGCATCTTTCCAGATCCTCTTCAAATGTCCCACGCCTGCCATCGTTTTGGGATTTTTGGACATGCTACAAAACCCACACGTTTTGCTCACTTTTAAAAGGTGCACAATCCCTTGTGCCTGCCACGCGAAACGACATCTGAACGTCCAAAAGCGGTCTGAAGATGCGGTGTCTTTAACATTTTGACTTTGAAATGTGCTTCCCACCACAACGGCGTGCACTTTTTCGACATGTCAACTTCCAAAAGTGGTCCGACGTTGGTGTGCTTTGTACATTTTGACTTGGAAATGTGCTTGGCGCCACAACGGCGTGCACTTTTTCGACATCGCAACTTCCAAAAGTGGTCCGACGTTGGTGTGCACTGACTTGGAAATGTGCTTCGCGCCACAACGGCGTGCAACTTTTCAGCTCTCATCTGGCCACATGGCTCCGCATCCGCCGCTTTAGCGAGCCTACTTTTCGACCCTCTGGAGCCACAAATCATTGGAAAAACGCTGTGTTTCGCGACTTTCCTACCTTTCGCGTGCCTGCATCTTCTTTCTTCTCTCTCTTTCTCTTCTCTTATCTTCTCTCTTCTGCTCTTCTCCTTGCTGACTCTTCCCACCTCTGCTTTTCCATCTGTTCATATTGTCGGAAGTTTGACTTCTAAACTTCCTTCGATAATACTTTACAATATCATGATATCTATAATGTTCTAAAGTTTTGTTGTATTCAACTAGTGATATGTTTTCGCAACTCAAATCTGACTTCTCGAAATTGTTGTTCACTAATGTGCATTATACAAATATTCCTCGAACAGCGAGGCAAAGCTGCGAGGGTTTCCTCTCGACATCTCAAGGTTCTATCATGATCTGCTCTTCATCCCCTCTAAGACAACTTTGAAGGGGTATGTAATGAATTGTAATGATATGTATGTTAGATTCTGTCGGAGCGGTTTGATAGAAAATGATTGGGATTCGGATATTAGGATGCCTCTGGAACCTGGAACTAATACAAAAATATATGAAAATATATGAAAACATCACGGTTTCTCAAAGGCGACGCCTCGTGCAGCTGGTCCGGAAGCACCACGCCCTGGATCGTGGCAGGCGTTTGGAATTTGGTCCAGTGGGTCCAGCTACCGCTAGTTTTTGTTTTCGTTACCGTGATTAAGCCGACGGGATATGCCAGGATGATGTTGAAATATTGGTGAACAGAAGACCACGTGACGGAGAAAAGACATGAAAACTCGTGAAAATTATTTTGATCCTCTTGGCTGCGATTGCATTTGCTCGGATTCGTATTTTTTCTCCTACATGTTGGAGATTTTTGGAGTATGGTTTCCTCAAAAGGACATCTTCCTTGTATGGGCATTATGCGGGCTTTATGAGCATGTCCTTTTGAAGACATGGTCATGTCAAGACCTTCGTGGGATGTGGTGGATCCAGGGCTTGAAAGACTGGGAACACTTTGCCTGCAGTGCCTCAGTACATGACAAATCATGATAACTTGGGGACTTGGGAGTTCTTGGATTCTTGGATGCTCTTGGCATGCCAATCCAAGATATTCCAAGTGTCTAAGGTACAGCTTGAGTATATATCTATCTATCTATCTATCTATCTATCTATCTATTTATCTATCTATCTATCTATCTATCTATCTATATCTGTCTGTCTGTCTGTCTGTCTATCTATCTCTCTCTCTCTCTCTCCTTTATTTATTTTGTGTAAGAATGCGCTGTATAAGAATTTGAAGGGCTCGGACCCAATGCGCGCTACATATTTTCAACTATACCAAGCACATAGTACTTTAAGAATTTGAGGGGCCCTGGGATAGGATTCAAATTCTTAAATTACTATTTGTGCGTGAGAAGCTGTGGCCTGGGAAAGCGGAAAATCATCAAACCAAAACAACGATGAAGGTTTTCAGGCCTGTGTGCGCGCGCCTTTGCGAAACGCGCACGATGTGGTTGTGAAAGACAGGCGAAAGCAGACTTAAAGCAGACCAAGAAAAGCACATACTGGCAGACCCGAGGTGGCGCAAGACAGCACGC